TTATTCCGAAATAAAAGGAGGGTTTTCAATATGTTTTACAAGTGTACTCTATCAATTGCAAATATTGTTTTATTGAAATATATTTCTATTTTAATATATTTTGCAAGAATTTTTATTATATGTTTTTTCGCTTTTGACGTCAATCTGAATATTCGTGATGGACAGTCAGAGGAGCCTTAATATATTTTACCGCATGCTAAAAAATTTTACGCAAAAAAATAATGTCGCTACGAAGTGAGTCATAATGAAAAAATATATTGCATTTATTTATATTAATCATATCGATTGAAACATTTCATTGACTTACTTTTTTATTTTCGTGTCAAATATTAGAATACTAAAAATATGTACATCTACATAGCTTTTTCCATGCAGGAACTGTGTCCCTAGGGATGTATTAGGTAAAGATTTATGTAAAGATTTTTCACGGTCTTTTAACATTTAAAGAAAAAAATTGAGAATAATAGAAAGAATTTTGACAGCATTATCTACCATTTTCATTTAAATAAACACTGTAAGTAAATATAATTAAGATAAGCGTAACTATTATTTTTACTTATTTATATACGAGACACATATCTTATAACTCTTGGAATTTTAATTATCAGGATAATAAAGGATCACGTCACAATTTGTAAATAAAGTTTCGTAAAATTCATTTCGTTGATCAAGTTAATGTTTTTCTACTGTGTATCTATACAGGCACCAATTGTGCAAATTGTGCAAATTGTCATAAGAACTTATGTAATCGCGCGATAAGTACTGCGTGTAAGTCATAATTCGTGCATAATGTATTTTAGAATCAAAATTTAATTCCGAACTGTAAATCTTCAAACCTCTCTCATAGTGATTTTACTCGCTGCAACATCTTAGCATCAGAATTATATCAACTTTATCAACTCCACCCTGTCAACTATTACAACTCCATCCTATGGCATGCCGTAACGTAGACTAAGTTATTTGCGTATAGGATATTAAGAAATGGATTCTGGATTAAAATGTAGTAACCATATATTTAGGAAACAATAAAAAATCAACTCAAGTCGAGTAATTCAGAAGTATCGCAGAAGCGGTTTTGATTTTGATAACGTAAGTTCTTAATCGATAGATGATATACAAGTCGAGTGCATTAACGATGTCCCCTCATTCATTCGTTACGCTCTCATGACACTATTGCAACATAATCGATGATATATTTAAATCGAACACAATTAAAATGTTACTCTGCAAATAATTATCATTTCTTTAACGTTTAGAAGATTTCATTTACGATCGCACGCTGACTTGAATTTTACTAATATCTATTAAAATTACGTTACAAATAACAGCAGCATTAACCTAATCTACAACTCATAGAAAATTGAAGCTACGGTCCACTTGATGCTACAAATACTTTGAAGCAATCGATACGTAGAATAGATTTGTAAAACTTCCCTTGTCAACTTCCAATCAATCAATAAATATCCATATACTTAAAATTGAATTATGCCTAACAGAAATGAAACAAGTTATGGTAGCTATCGAATTTAGATATTAAATATAATCGATATTTCTTTGATTGAGCAATTAGTAAAATTTCCGATCGGTCAATCAAATGTTTCAAAATGTGTCTGAAGCATCAAGCAAACTGCACCCCAGCTGAGACAGCGGGCGTGAAATTAACTCGCTCTCACCAACCAGAGAGATGCATACCTATCTACGGAATGCAGAATTTGCCGGGGGATATGACTCCAAACCTTCCTTATCGTACAATATATCGCAACGCTCTCTTACTTGTTGTTAGCATAAGCGCTAGTATCCATATAAGAATTATCGCGGAGTCGTCGGTTAGATTAGCAACGAGCAGACGATGCGTAGCGACATGTGCGACAGCAGCCGCACGCGCGGCATTCGCGCGTCGTACTCGTTGCACAGGGAGTTCACTATCTCTCACTCAATTTAAGCCTCATCCGCCGTAAGCGGATCGGCCAAGCTGGCCTTTTAACGTCGGATAGTCTCGCCTCTCGCGGCTGCGCGGCATAGACGCCTATAACAAACATTATCCGCCATAATGCCCCCGTGTAAACATACCTACCTACGTAGCGCGTCTGCCTCCCGGTTCCTTTCCCCGTCGCGTTTCCCTTTCCCGGCCAGATAAAAACGCATCTCGAAGTTTATTTAACCGTTTAGCGCCGAGTTAAGTTTCACGCGGCTAAAGCCGACTTTTCGGCACGCTTCCTCCCCACTCCATCAGATAGCTTCCGGTTTAGCACGCGACGCTGACCGTCGATTTCACAGCACGTTAGATCTGCTCTTTATCGCTCATTAGATACACTATAACTTTCTTTCTCGCTTTCGCCAAATTTCAAATTGCTATCTACTTTATTTTAAGTACAAGTGTACGGTAGTTCAATCGCAAAGAATAGACCTCTAGACTCCAACTTTTCGCTGCGTTTCACGTAATGTAAAGAGATGATCGAATCAATCGAGTCAACAGTCGTTTTACTTTTATGTATGTTGAACCGTGATATTAACATATCAATGTCGATTAATGCGATTTTGTTTTTTCTTTACGAGTTTTGTAGACAATCGATTCGCGCGGATTTC